AGCAACAGAAAAATATATCAGCGTGATAGAGGTTGTACGGGGCAACAAAGAAAAACGCAAGACCACACCAAGCACCATTGCATAAGCAACAAGAGATCAAAAAAAAAATCACGCACGGTATTCAAAACTTTTAAATGCGATCACCAGTTCACCTCCAGTCACTCGAGAACAAAACGCATGCGAAAAGGTTTTCAGCAGCAAAAAAAAAAGCACAGAAGAAACAAAACACATCCGTTTCGGTCGCTGGTTCAATCAGCACTCTGCTTTTTCGATCAGTGCCCTTTCGGAAGTTACGGACCTCGTCCTCAGCGCATCCTGTTCACGTTCGGCAGCAATAATGGCGGATTTGATGCCCGTCACCATTTCCTTTATTGCCTTGTGGACGTTGCTCTTATCCTTGATGAAGTCATGGAGTTCATTGATCCTCCTCCTGACCTCCATCAATTTGGTCTTCCCAAGCTGCAATCCTTCTTGGGGTGTGCTACTGCTGGATTTCGGTGTGAAAACCTGGCTTAGCATAAGACCTAGCTCTCCTTGGTGTCCTTGCTGCTCACCTTGGGGCTTACTGCTGCTGTTGGAACTTGCTGTTGCCTCCAGGTTCAACACTGGTGATCTCTGCAATATCCCGCTCCTTGCGAACACGTTCGCTCCTTCGTTTTCAATTTCTGGCGTCTTGCCGTCGTCCTTCATATTTTTTTTTGGGTTTTCTCATTTTCTTCTTTTTTGTTTTTTTCTCCGTTTTTCTCCATTCTGTTGGCCGGGCCGCTATCTCCACTCGTTGTATGTAGTCGCCTATCGTGATCCCATGGTTATCTATGCAAGCAGGGAGGCCATGCTAGGGTTGACACGGTCCTTCATGGGGGCCGTGTTCAGAGCCAGATCGGCGTAAGTCAGGAATGTTACATCTGAGCCTACTACTCACCAATCACCAATTGGTGACGAGTTTTGAACGTATCCGGAGGCCTGCCAAGGTTTTACCGGGACGGGGGCAGCCGCACTATTAGCCCACTCGCCATTTCAAGAAGGTGTCACCCTTCTTTACTTAGGGAGCAGAATAGCACGACTGTCAGCCCTGTAGCGTGGTATCCAATCGCCGTGTTATGGTTACCGCGCCAGTGTTCGCGTCGCACCCCCTATGCTTCGGTCAGGGATGTGGCCAAAAAGTTGAATCTGTCCAAGTCTTTCGTTCAGAGAGCCAAGGACCGGTAGGGAATGCATACGAACAAAGCGCAGAAGGCTTTAAATTGAGACGAACTGTAAAATACGGTGGGAAAGCGGTGATTTGGCAAGCGATCTGCTCATGTGGCAAACGAAGTGCGCCGTTCATGACTACCGGAACTGTAAACGGGGAGAACTACATCAAGGAGTGTCTACAGAAGCGTCTGCTTCCTTTGTTGAAGCAAAACGAGATTCCTACGATCTTCTGGCCGGATTTAGCTGCGTGCCACTATTCAAATGTTGTCCTGGAGTGGTACGAATCTAACGGGGTCACTTTCGTACCCAAGGACATGTACCCCCCCCCCCCCAACGCACCGGAACTTAGGCCCATCGTAAAATACTGGGCCTTTATGAAGCAGGCACTACGGAAGCATCCCAAGGAGGTCAAATGCGAGGAAGACATGAAGAAAAAGTAGGTTTCCTTACAGAAGAACCTGCAGCCAGATGTTGTACAGAACCTAATAAGTGGAGTTAAGCGTAAGGCGCGAGCGTACGGTTATAGTATTGAAGTTGAATGAAATAAATATGCCAAAAGCTTACTTATTTGTTATATTTTATTGTCTGAAAGTTTGAAAAGGATCGGTCAACTAGGTAATTTTCTACACCGTTTTTCCGTGATGCAATTTGATTTGGGACACCCTTTTAATAAATGTAACGGTGAAGCCGGGATTGTTGAAAACTTTGCGAAATTCTGTGACTAAAATTCGTTCTCATATTAGAGAAGATACGTCTATTTTAATCAGGATATTAGGACAGTCAGGAGATTTAATACAGTGTTCACTCGGCTGTCGACAAAAACAGGCCACTCTCGATGTGTGCCACGCGATCGTCTGTTGTCTCGGCAGCAAACATTGTGTGGTCCTCTTCATTGTTCTTCATCAGCAGTTCTTTCGGTCGATGCGTCGTCGACTTTGGAAAGCAACCGTTTAGTGATGACTGTGTGAGTGCTGACCACGTTTTGCGTCCATTGCTGCAATGGAAGCGCTCTGACCCCCGTTGGCGTAGCTGTCATACAATAAACCCACTGGAAGCGGCTCCAGTTCTGATGGAGGAGGCTTTTTGGATAGCGGAAGATAAAGTATTTATTGTGCTGTACCTTTTGACTATAGTTTTAAGATGTATTGTATAGTGACCAAGAATCCTCGGATCTGTAAAGTTAATTCGTTTGAGCCTTATCAAATAAATCAATAAACAACAGGAGATTTAATGAAGAAATATTTTCTTATTACAGTCGTTTTAATACTTTTGGGTTATTCGTGACCTTGTGTGGGAACACAGATTTAAAGAAGTGATCTCAACCAGAGGTGGCAACAGTACATTTTTTGCAAAACTATCGTCCAGGGCAAAACAAAACAGCCAGCACACGGCCGGTCGTGTATTTCTACATTACAAGAAAGCAGCGGATATAGAGAATAAGAAAAATGTCGTAGCCCATTTTTTTTTTCAAACAATTTATTGAAATTACATTTTGGCTGCAAGCTTACGTGTGACAGTAAATTATCATCTCCCTTATTTACGCATAATTTTAACATCTATGCTTATGAGTGGTTAGTATTCTTTCTTGTCTTATAATTCCATGCAATAAACCTCAAATAAATGCTATGATTAGTCAGAAATCCGCTTCTACATGACATAAATATATGTCACACGCGCCGCTAGTCTTGTCTGCTTCATTGTGCGAAAATGTTCTGTCGCCTGCAGAAAAAAGTTTAGAAATGTCATGACATTTTTTTCCGTTTGCCAGTTTGTGTTTGTGTGTCTTCTCTATGGTCATTGCACAAAGTATCAAATGTTAAGGAAAAAACGTTAAACTCCAGTACCCGTGCCACCACTGATCTCAACCTCGAGCAGAATAGATATGAAGCACGAACCAGGACGGACTCCTTTAAATAGTTAGTTTTTCTTAACTGTTCTATCAATATCTATTTTCTTTCTGTAAAAATCTCTTGGGACACTGGAACCTCTATGTACGAAACAAACCGGGGATTCGTTAATTGAATTATTGCGTTACGAGTATTTTTGAAATCGGGGTGACGTGTAGGAACTAGCAATCCATGCACCATTTTGAAATCCAAGATGGTGGCATCCGGTTAGAGAAAAAACTTGGAAGTACTGTCAAATACCCCACAAAATGATATTTTTGGAATAATAAAGATAAGATGTTTTTTTTATTTTGAATTATGAAAGTGAGTTATGTATTGAACAATTTAATGTGGCAGAAAAAAAATTCCCGTAAGAAACAACTTTGATGCAAATTTTTAAATATTTGCTTTAAATTCGTACTTTACACAAACTAGACAAACTAGTGACACATGACAAAAACTATTTTTTTTCTCCCTAGAACAAGTGATAGTTTTCAACCAAAGGAGTTAAAATTTATAAAAAAAAAAAAAACAAGACCCGATTTAGATTCATTTGAAGAAGCAAATTGGTTCAAATCCAAACAAGCACTTGAGGACATTCTAAATCTAATGACATCGGGCTTGCATCCATGTTGTTTATATAGATGTACTTACAAAGATCAATTGCAAAATAGTTGAGTTGATTCCATCAGTTACTGAAACCGTAAGCCATTTATTCGAAGTAAAATAGTAATAAAACAAAACAAATTGCCTTGCAATGTGCTGTCGCTACTGGTCTGAATAAGACATGCCTATATTATAAATATATTTAATAGAACTCCAACGTATGGAACGTAGAAACTTTCCAAGAATTGTACGTTGATAGACCCACCGTCCCGGAACAAAAAGCCACTTCTGCTCAGCAATCAAGCATCAAGCAAGGATCGCTGGCAGGGAGGACAAACAGCCACTTCCATAGGAAGAAACACATCTCGTCACACTAAAGTACATCAGCTAGCACGCAAACTGAATTGTATGGTTTCCGGCCAGCATGTACCTTCCAAAACCTAGACACAACAAAGATAAAGCGCATGAAACGGCATGAGAAATGAGTCCGATAACCGAGACAAAAAAAAAAAAGATATTTGATGGGAAAACAACCGAAATGGAAGAGGGTGGCTGGTGATGAGCTTGTTTCTCCCAAACAAAATAACACTTTTAGTTCCGAAGGACTACGCGATGGTGATGATGGGGCTGTAGAATCCTCTGTGAAATTAAAAACAATAAAAAAGGCTGTTACTATGCCTCAAAGTGGTCAGGATGATGGGAGGGAGAGTGGTGTGCTGATGGTGAGGGAAAACGTACTTGGAATAATAAAAAGCACTTTTGAACGAGTTGACGATGTCTGTGGAGCACTATTGTTTCAAAATTGAAGATGAGAATTCTTGTTTATTCTTCCGAGCTGATAAAGAGACAAACCATTTTTTGTTCCATTTGCTTGATTTGAAATGGATGATTATGGTTTGATGGTCAATTAGTAGATATAGAAGTAAAGGTACTTTGTTTTAAGTTTTTTTTTCGATTCAATCAATCAAATCATGGAACAACGCAATAAATTAGACAAGATTTCACCGAGATCCAGCTGAACAACATCCGATATAATCAGAGAAATCCAATTTAATAGGCAGTTGAACCCAAGATTAAACCAATCAATACATATTTTGGGAACTTTTTCTTATAATTAAAACCATAAACCCGTTGGCTTTATGCGACATCCGCCACTCAAAGTCACACTTCACGCCCGCGCAACCTTTACCTATCATATCTTAATAATCAACAGCCAAATAAAAGAAAAATCATTCCAACCAACATGATACAATCTCCCGACGATGATGATATTCATTTCTCTTTTTCTTCACTCTTGACACCGTTTCGTTCCAGATGCTCAACGAAATCAGTCGACGCATATAATTGAATCCAACACTTCAAACGGGCCTGCCCAACCAACACCACCTACGCTCACACGCGAGCCATCCCTAGAGAGACAGATATAGAGAGAGAGAGACACAGCTCAAGACGGCAAATCATTTATCTCCTCCGAAGCGGCCACAGCAATTGTGGGACGGAAGATAACTTGACAGCAGAACCATGACACAACCATCGTCACCATCGTTCCCCGAGGCGACGGCGTTGCCGGTGACGACGCCGACGCTGACAACCGTTTGTCCCTCCCGATGGACGGCCCGACGATGGCTCGCCGGCACGCTGCTAGTGCTGTTGATTTGCATACCGAGGCAGATAATTGGATTCTGTCCGTCACTGTGTACCTGCGAAGCCGATCGCAATCTTCGGACGTCTTGTATCAACGCATCCCTGGAGGTCGTTCCGATCCAGCTGAACCCGGACGTGCGACACATCAATCTCAGCTCCAACGCAATTACCAATGTGCACTTTACGCTCGGGTTCTACTACCAGCTGGAGGTGCTGGACATCTCCCACAATCGGCTGGACACTCTTGGGTCCAAGAACTTCGAAGCGCAGGAGAAGCTACGGGTGCTGAATCTCAGCGAAAACGTTCTCACCAACCTGTTGAAGGATACCTTCAAGGGCCTGAGGCAGCTAGAAATTCTGCAACTGAACGATAATCGGATAGAAAAGATACACCCAACTGCATTCCACGGGTTGGTGAACCTATTCGAGCTGGATCTGAGCAACAATCTGATTGTTAGCTTCGAAGCGGACGTGCTGAAACCTCTGGTATCGCTCGAGAGGCTTTCGCTAGAAAATAATCAAATTCTGGAAGTGCCATACGATACGAATTTAGATCATTTGCGATCGCTGCGGTTTTTGGATTTGTCCGTAAATCTGATTGAATTCGTCACCAACGATAGTTTCGCAGCGCTGCGAGAACTGCGGACGCTCAAGCTCGGTGGCAATGTGCTGACTGAGTTGGATTTGGGAGCATTCCATGGGCTGAACTCGCTCAAGCACATCGATTTGGCTGATAACAATTTGACGGTGAGTATTGAACACGATTTTCCTTATTTATGCATGACCGAGGAGATTGAACTTAAAGGTAGATCTGAACATGTTTTAATTGCTTTTCAAGACTCAATTAAAGAGTTATCATAACATATTGTCAATAATTCCGTGGGCTATTCAAAAGCTGCATTCCAATTCAAAATGAATAGACTGATATTTGTTTTACTTAACTTATATTAGATAAAATGGACTAGCAATTTATCCTTTAAATCACAGTTTCCGGTTTGAATTTTTATACTTACCCAGTAGAAATCTAATTATTTTACCAAATCACAATCATTAAACTACATCAACCCGAATGTATCTATGTCAATTACAGGATTTTTTGCGGTACAATACGTGAGTCAGATGAAATCTTTCAGGGCACACCGGGGGAAGTGGGAATGGCCATTTTAAATCTGAATGCTCATGTGTGGGTGCGATAAAACGGAAAACTTCAAAGACCCAATGACTTCATCAGCCGAATTACGTCATTGGCTCAATGGAGTTTTCCGTATTATCGCATCAACACATGAGCATACAGATTTAAAAATGGCCGTTCTCACTTACCCTGCAGTCCCACTTGTGCCGGTGTACCTCGTAAGGAAAGTTTATCTTATTCCTTGGCTTTATTGCGTCCCTACTGAGACTTTGCACACACCTTTTGAAAAATTCATGTAAGTTTCTGCGAGGTATAGCGCACATAAAATTAACGCTACATTTTGTATAAATTTACACGATATTTCGTCTAAATTTAAGTGCAAAATCGCATAAATTTTCAATATTGTATGCAAGCTTGTAAACGATTTCGCTGTTTAAATTAAACGAAGGGAGATTTTAAGCGATAGTTAAAATTCAGAATTTTTTCTGAGCAGGTTCTGAATTTTGTGTTCTTTGCACACTTCCACAGTTATTAATTGAGAGCTTTCTATAAAATATGCAATGCTACTTGGGTGGCGTTGCAAATACAATCATACTTCATGCTCAGGGAAGTCAAGAAAATTTTCAACCCGAAAAATTGCTAGATCAGACCGGGAATTGAACCCAACCGCCTCCAGTATGGTCTTGCTTTATAGCTGTCTCTTAAGGTAATTCCTTTTAGAGCTCAAAAATGGCCGCCACGTAGGCTATAAATGCACTTCCACCTCGAATTTTCAATTAAACAAATCTCGGAAATTAGAGTTTCATTTCACCTGAAATTGCAACTCCACGTATCCTGCAGTGAAGCAAACGTGGAGTAACAGTTTCATTGTAGTACATGTCGTGGAAGCTGATATTTGTTCACTTAAGGTGATACTCTACACAGTTCGAAAAAATAGTGTAAATTTCTGTTAAATACGATGCACATCAATTGAGCGTCACATATCATGTAAGTTTACATTATAAGTCGTGTAATGTTCTGAGACATTTCATGAAATGATGCAATAATTGTATACAAATGCCCATCTTTGTAAACAACATTGCTTACAAGTTGCTCGTTTGCATGAAATGAAATACAAGCTTACGTAAAAGTATTTTTACAATTAAAATTCAAATTTTTTTTTGCTGTGTAAGGAAGCCTTAGCGTGAAACTTTAAAGGCACAAATGTCAGCTTCCACAAAACATACAAATTTGAAATTGCTACTCCTTGTTTGCTGTCCTACTAGAAACAGAAAGTAGCAGTTTCAAATTTGTATGTTTTGTGGAAGCTGACATTTGTGCCATTGAAGTTTCACGCTAAGGCTTCCTAAGAGTATCACCTTAAAGTTTTGAAGTGGTAGCTAGAATAAGGATCTCACAGCGAACCACCTTAACGGCTGAGCTAAGGGAGAACCCAACAAATGAAAGGGCATACATTTACTATGCAACAATAGTATACATTTCGATTTTCAATTTGAAATAAAGCTTATGCTATCCTGCATACTGAATTCGGTTCACCGAAGTAAATAAAAATTTTTCGGGTATTTTAACATCTGAAAAAGTCGAATCTCAAATGACCATGTAATAATTACGTTAATCTCAGTAGTATATGAACAGCCCATAATATCTTTTTACATCGAACATTAGCAAGTTCTGTATTCTACCAGTTATTTTTCTTGTTTGCGTATGAGACTACCTCCCTTGCACTGTTATTCCCGGCGTCCGGGGACGCCCCATCCATCATCACCACTAGGACCTCAACTACTTCCTCGTTGGGCGATGCACCTCCAGTCGCTATGTCAGCGTACGTACTGCTCTCTCTCTCATTCCATTTTCTTCTTGCGTTCATTGTTGTACTGGCTGCTTTCGATCCTTCCGCTTGGGGCAAGAACTCTTCCGATGCCCCTCGGTCGTTGTTCCCTTTTCGATTGAGGAAATGCAGCGAGTTGGGAAACTCCATTCTTACATCTATATATAAACCTCGCAAACCTGTAAGCATATCGAGGCCCAAGGTGGCTGGAAATTTCTCCCAAACCACACTCTTCACATCACCGTATTTCCCTAGCACCAATGCGGGACTTTTGGTGAGAGGTCGAGCACTCTTACGTATTGACCCCAGCAGGCGACATGCGTACCTCGACTGACTTCTCATCGGCATAATGGAAAATCAACTTTTCATGGTTGTGTAGCAAACAATAAAGCATCGACTGTTCTGATTTGAACTCCGCTCATCTGAGTGGGATCCGAGCCCAGCTATTTCACAAAACTCGCAACTTCATCCATATTTGTGCTTGTATGTATAGTACTAGTACATGCAAGACCTACAAGAAGGTCTCCAAAGTGCTACGAATCACATCCAAAGCCTACTTCTGGGAAGATTCAACCACAGTTTTGAGCTGGCTCAAGGCTACTCCATCAACCTAGTCAACTTTCTTTGGAATCCAGGTATCCAAAATTTAGAAGAAGACCGAGAACTGCGAGTGGAAACAGACGAGAAAATCCCGCTGACATTATCTCGAGAGGACTTTCAGCTACAGACTTGATCAAGTGTGCACTGTGGTGGAAAGGTCCTCCATGGCTTCGAGGAGAAAAAAGGCATGGACAGTAGACTGATGCAAAATTTGAAATTTTCACTCCACAGTGCTTAAACGGGTCCAAATTGGGTAATGCTTAGCCTCCCTAAATATTAACTACTTTAGTAAGAAACTGACTTGGCACAAACCATTTCAACTTTATATGGGAAAACTTATGTTTTTGTTCATATCTATCTAAAAATTCACCACATCACCATGCTTTCAATAATGGTAGCAGAGGTTGTAGCAATTTTTTTCAGCTACAACTTTGTTCAAAACTACTTTTTAATCAAATGTATGGAACAAAAGTTATTAATGACTCAAGTCACTGATGTCTTATGATTATGCTCATTCAACTGTTCAGCAGGCAACATTGGTGTTTCTGGTGCAAAGAATAGAGCACAAATATCATGGCTACTATGTCACACTGCAAAATACAGTGTTGCCCACAGAACAGCTGCTTGATCATGCCATAAGGTTATCAATCTCTTAAACAATTAATAACAATTTAATTTGACATTTGGCTGAAAAACAATATTCCGCTAAGTTGTAGTTTAAAAAATTTCCCGTAATAATAGTTATTAAAATTTTCGAAAAAGCATTATGGAAAATGGGTAGAAGACAATGAACAAAAAGTTTGGTTTTCCTATAGTAATTTCCATATAAACTTCGAATAGTTTGTGCCAAGTCAGTTTCTTACCAAATGAGTTTAAATTTTGAAACCGTCTGAGCACTGTGAAGCGAAAATTTCAAATTTTGCATCAGTCTATTGGACAGTTACAGTCGACAACGAGGCAGCTAAGGAAGCAAGGAAATCGTCGCTTGTAGTTATTTCTTCTTCACCAAACTTTCGTCGAGGAATACGTAGGCAGATTCTCCAACTACCAGCATATGTTACGCATCACTGCCTACTCGCATAATCTTCGAATATCAAAGGCCGAGCAAACCATTTCGTCACCGTTAACAACAGCCAAACTACGTAGCGCTGAACTAGGACTCGTTCGACTGGTTCAGAAGGATAGCTTCGCTGTAGAATTGAAGGCACTGCAGGCAGAACAAATGGTTCCGTCGAATTCACGACTTCGCTGGTTCAATCCGATTATTGCCCCTGACAACGTTCTACGCATCGGGGACGGTTGAGTCGTTCCGCACAACCCTATGATTCTTGCCATCAAATATTTCTGCCAGGATCGCTGTCACCACGAACGTCTTCTACACGCAGCTGTTCAGCTTCTCACCAACACTATGCGGCAGCGGTTTTGGATTCTGGGTGGCAGTAATATCACTCGTCGTATCGTTCACGACTGCATCATCTGTTTCCGAGCAAAGCCGAAAGCAGTCGAGCAATTTATGGTCGAACTTCCATCCAAGCGTGTCACCGCTTCTAGACCATTCTCCGTCATCGGTATTGATTTCTGGAGACCAATCTACCTCAAGCCTCGTCACTGAAGAGATGCACCTTCGAAAGCCTAAGTAGCATTATTCGTATGATTCAGCGCGAAGGCTTTTCACTTGGAGCTCGTCGTGGCCCTAACTACTACCAAATTTCTCCAGGCTTTCCGTCGTTTTGTATCTCGTCGGGGTTTGTGTTCAGACGTCTACAGCGACAACGGCAAAAACTTCATTGGTGCAGCCAACGAAATCCGGAAGCTATTACGTGCCAAGGACTTCCAGCACTCTTCCGACAGTAAATGTGCCACCAATGGAATTCACTGGCAGTTCAATCCACCTCGTGGTTCACACTTTGGAGAATTACGGGAAGCGGCAATCAACTCTGCACAGAAGCACTTCGTTTGTTTATTGGGAGACCGCAAGCTAGCTTTCAACGACTTGGAAACAATCCTCGTGCAGATCGAAGCCTGTCTCAATTCACGGCCACTTACCAGACTTCCAACGGATCTCCAAGCTCTCACACCGGGCCTATTTCTGATCGGTCCGTCGCTGCAGTCCGTCGCAGACATTGACTACGAATCGATTCCAGTGAACGGTCTCCACCAATGGCAGCTAATCCAGAAGCTGCTCCAGGAAGTCTGGAAACGCTGGCACGTGGAATATCTCACCTGTACCGCTTCAAAAGAACCAGCTCGTCATCATCGTAGGTGAGAATCTATCAATGATGCGCTGGACTACAGTACGAATCCACGAGCTGCATCTAAGAAATGACGACACAGTACGAGTGGTCACTTTGTAAACTGCAACAGGATTCATCACCCGTCCTATAACGAAAATTTGCGTACTACCAATTTGGCATAAGTTTCATGTCTTTTATTTATGTACGTATTAAAGAGTTCGCACGCGCACGGACTTAGGATTTTCTTTTACTCGTGGCGAAGCCTGATTGAAGAAATCCAGCAGAGTCGCAGAGAAAGACTTGAACTTGATTTCAAAGAGTCGATAGACTGCATGGGATAATCCCAGCAGCGTCGAGCTTTGAAATAAGCATTGTTTAGTTTATTCAAATGCATTTTCCTTTTAAACAATTTGGTTTACAATAGGCTGAGCATTTTGGTGTCACTTCAGTCGTCTCACTATTTTAACTAAACGACTCTTTTCAACATACATTGAAAAGAGTCGTTTGGTTAAAATAGTGAGACGACTGGAGTGACACCAAAATGCTCATCCTAGCAGTATTAGGAATAATGGATATATTTGGGTTGAGCGCCCGACGCTGACATTCGAAACCTTTCTTGCTGCGCGAACAACCTCGGCCCACACAGGAAGGGTGGATAAAGGGCGAACACGAAATTATTGCGACACCGAAAATGTCATGCCAATTTTCTTATAATGTTTAGAATCAAACCAAAATTTTAGGGTAGTTTTATACATATATTTACTTCAAAAATCAAAAGAAAAGTTAATCGATGGAGCCTTGAGTGTAAAATTGAACGCATTTTCGCTTGATGCCCTCCATCAAAGTCTTTACAGTGTCATCCGGTACCAGTTTCTCAGTTTTTTTTCATTTTCTTAACATGTCCTTCTCGTCTTTGACTGTCTTCTTGCTCTTCCGAAGTTCCCGCTTCATTATTGCCCAGTACTGCTCCACCGAGCGCAGCTCCGGACAGTTTGGCGGATTCATGTCCTTTGGAACAAAATGGACAGAATTGGCCTCATACCACTCCAGGACACTTTTAGAATAGTGGCATGATGCCAAATCTGGCTAAAATAGCGGAGCTTCGTCGTGCTGCTGCAAGAACGGCAAAAGGCGCTTCTCGAGGCACTCAGATTTGTAGATCTCGCCATTTACTGTGCCCTTTGTCACGAAAGGCTCACTCCTCAGTCCGCAAGAGCAGATGGCCTGCCAAATGAGATATTTGGAGGCGAACTTCGACATTTTCTTCTTCTTAAATTTGTCGTCCACATCGAACTTGCTCTTGCCGGTGAAAAACTCCAACCCGGAATTTGCTTAAAATCGGCTTTTATATACGTTTCGTCGTCCATCACACAGCAGCCATATTTTGTCAGCATCTTCTCGTAGAGCTTCCGTGCCCGAGTTTTAGCCGTCGATTTTTGCCGCTCATCGCGGTTTGGGAAGTTCTGTATCTTGTATGTATGTAGTCCAGCTCTCTTCTTTGCATTCTGGACGTAGCTCTGCGACATGCAGATCTTTTTAGCCAAATCACGGCTTGAGACGTTGGGATTTGCTTTAATCATCCGCTTCACCTTTCCCTCCGTCTTTTTGTTCTCCGGTCCCGGTTTTCTTCCAGCTCCTTTGCCGTGGTCCAACGTCAACCGCTTCAACACTCTGGAGACGGTTGAATGGTGAATGTTCAACATTTTTCCCAACTGCCGGTGCGACAGGTCAGGAAATTCCAGGTGTTTGGAAAGAATTTGTTCAATCAACTCGCGTTGGTTCACCTCCATTTTCGTTGAATCGAAAAACACGACTTCGAGTTTGACAGCATGTACACAATGAGAAAGTGTGCAAAATTTGGTTGATTTTTACCCAATGGTAAAAAAGTTATGCCCTGTAGAATGTGTCGCAATAATTTCGTGTTCGCCCTTTAGAGGACGAGAGAGTGCTGCACAGTGGTCGGAGATGCCAATTTGGTGAACTTAATTGTTTTGTGATCAAACCGTTGACCTAATCCAAAAACTGTCTTCAAAAGAATTGTTCACAAAAACATTGCGCATATTATGACAATTACCAATATTTGTCATGGCATACTTTGAAAAAAATTAAAAAAATAACTTTTTTTCCGAAAGAGACAGAAGAGTAGTTTTTTTAGCAAAGTTGTTGTACTCATAAAAATATGAAACTTTGCTTAAGACATCAAATTTGTATGACGAATACTTGTGAATATATGAAGCGTTTTTGATGGAAACCCCCTTAAATTCATGTTTTTAAGAATAACTTTTTTTATTACAGTTTTTTAAGTAAACAATGTTCTAAACAAATGTAAACAACATACAAATACATGTTTTTGCTCGAGACAGTATGTAGCTAAAATCATCCCTTTCAAAGTTATAGTACTTTTTACATTTATTTTTCCTCAATTTCAGCTGCATATAGGGGAGAAGGTGGCAAACCGGGACACAGCACCAAGTACTCTTTTAAAAGCTTAGACTCTGTACTATTTACAAAGTAGTGAAGGTTTGGTTAGCGCCAATTCATAAGTGAGTGAATAAGGGCACGTTGAATGTTCAAGTGTTTGGCCTTTTTTCTATATAAAAATAACCTTGTCTCCTCATTTATGAACGGTAAATTACGGATTATAGAAACAAATATAATCAAACTCATCCGTGAACCACAAGAAAATTTTCTGTATGTATGCATTAACAAAAAAATGATAAATTTGAACAAAACATTTTCTAAGACAAGCACTTTGTGTGCTTAGTTTACTCCAGTTGTCAATATAAATTTTGGTTAGAAAAGAGTGAAATTAAAGCGGTGGTGAACTTTTTACCATCCTTAACAAACCCTTTGTCATCCTCAACAAGATACTGCTGACCGGTGCGAATTCTACCGAGTAGTTAAAAAATGGGACATCTCTGATTCTAGTGTGATTGTTTTGATAAAAAAAGAGCGCAACGTTTCATATCTACCGAGGAGGCAGCAAAACCACAAAATTACCTTGCATACGGGAGGTATTCATTGGATGAAAAGGACCGTGAAAGAGGACACTAAAATAGAAAGTGTTTCTTCCGAATTTTTCATCCTAGTATTCTTCTTTGATGATTCGGCAAGATCATGGCGCCTAGAAATCGAAAATTAAGATAATTTTACTAAACTTTTTATTTGAAAAAGAGCAATGAATGTTCAAAATTTGTCCCAAAAATAGGCAATTGATTTACGGATTAGAATGTGGTATTAGTTTTTCATAATTATTGTGTATTATTGCTGAATGAATGAGTTATTTGCTTGACAGGCCGAAATGAGGGGCTAGGATGACATTACATCCCGTAGCCCTATAATAATGCATTGTGAATTGCACCAATTTGTATACTGATTTCTACGGGGAGTCAAACACCACCCTAATGTTTACTACCACGAAAAGAAGGAACCTTTTAAGTATAACAATTTCATTGAATGCATACATCGACTAAATATTGAAACAAAAGCTCTAGGACTACGCTCGTGCTAAATTTCCAATCTGGGCTACTGTGAATTGGTCACATTCTGATATGTTTTGGGCCCTCTAAGGGAGTAAAAACATCAAATATAATTAATTGATCAATTACTAGTTTATTTTTTATTTTCATTTTATTAGCAGGATTATACCATGAATGAAACCAAAGAGCTTTAGGTCTTAAGCACAAAACCATTATGCGGCACATCAGCATGGCTAACATGGTACTCAGTACAAGGCAAACCAGTACCGAACAAACCCGCTTAATGCAAAAATTGTATGGATCCAAACTCTAAACCTCAATAATAATAAAATAATATGGCTGACATTTGTTTTTTTTTTTTTTTTTTTCCTTTATTAACGAGACTTTTAGTCTTAGGCTGGTTCATCTCTAGAAAGCTGACATTTGACCCAGTGACTCCACTTAGTACTCCCGTCAAGATGTGGTAGAACTGAAACTTTATCAATCTATGGTCCATTCTTAACCGTTGCTTCTATGTTGGGTCCATCGGGACTCAAATTTTGTTAGGCGAACAAAACTGTGCCATCGATTGCATTCAAACACATTCCGAGACACATTTGATTTAAAAAGAAAGGTCCTAAAAAGGAGCAATGATTCCATAACGTGCCTTCCAGCCATCCAACATCCTTTTAAAACTAAACGATGTTATTCCATTTTTTTTCCAGGTCATCCCAACGGTCCAACTCTCGAAACTCTACAACCTGACTACGCTTTCCCTGAGTGGCAATTCATTCGTCCATCTGCCAGCCGTATCGTTTCTGAATCTGTTCCACCTGCGGGAACTGCACTTGAACCGACTGGATCGCCTGGAACGCATCGATTCCCGGTAAGCACCAAACTATGATCCCGAAAATTTCCAACTTTGGTTCTCTCCCCCACTTCATAATTAGCAACACCATCGTGCAACGCACGTACCTACGTTCGTTTGGCTGCTGCGTCACGAGCTTAGCAGACGGGATTTTAGCACTTATGCTGCTAGGCTCACGTTTGAATAATTCAATAGCGCCATTCCGGTGCACACTCACACGGGTTGATTAAATAATTATGACTTAATTCGGCTGCAGCAGCACATGCTCTGCCGATTTGTGCTTTATGAGGTAGCATTCATTCGAGGTAGAAGGTTTATAGCGGGACCAATCTTGCATATGAGCACCCCCAAAAACTCACCGAAAAGCACTCTGCAACCAAGATGGGGTGGTATTGACTCATTCATTGATTTTAAGGAGCTGCGAATATGGCAGATCATCAAATTTTACTACAGTTCGTTTCGGTAGCATATTGTTGCAGGCTTTACTTCGACTATCGACGGTGAGTTGACGGACGGCGGGGGTGGTGGGTTGGTGGATGATTGGTAGTCGGTAGCGAATCGTTAAAATGTAGCTACAATTTAAGTACCCTACCGTAGGCGCTTGTGTTTGGGTGAAACCGAACACCAGTAACAGACTGTCATCAATTTTGTGCATCAAAGTGGGATTACAACCCCTTTTTCCGACCACGGCATCATTTGGATGAATCCACAGCGTTGAAGTTGGCTGGTGATAATTTGATCATACAGTTCGGTGAACTCCCACTTTAATCGATTCCAGGCAAAGTTTTCCCATCGTTAATTTTATTATACGCGTTTTAGCAGATGCGTTTATGGGGTTTAATGTAAAAATTATTTCCAATAGAAACGTTTCGATAACGGTGTTATTAAGCGCAATCTCATCATTCGATGGTTCAATTACATGTCGCCTGGTATGCAGGCATTTCTTACGTATCACAAATGGTTCTATGAATGAAGTTGCAGCGATTGCGGGCACGTGTGGAATTTATGTGTCGGTTTCTTGTGTTGTTGGGGGACTTTCCTCAATTCAATTCGACGACACACGTTCAAACTGACTCACTCAAAGGGACACCGAAGCTAAAGTTGCTTTTCATGGCAGACGACGACGATGGCATAGCTCGTTGTGCTGAATGAAGATATGTTCCTTCGTAAAAGAAGGCTTGCATATTTCCGTTTATTTTTTTTATTCAACACATCGTTCGTTCTATATATGCCCAGTTCCGGTTGTCCTTGCTGGCGAATGTGGTATGTGCAATGTGAAGTGTGGTTTTATTACCCAGCTTTTTCTGTCGTATTTTTTGTGTTCAAAAGCTTTTTTGCTGCGTTCGGCATTGAATAATGTGAACATGGAATGTTAACATAAAAATCATGGCGGCTTGGTGGCTGGAATTGGAATGGTACATAAAGTGCAGGAAAAAAAATGTGATAATTTCACATTAAGTTTGTTGCAGGACTGGTGAGTGAATGATTGAAATGCATCAGCAAAATTTTGATTTCGAAGAACCTATGCTAGGTATATCATCAAAATCAAAGCTCCATCACAATAGATCAAACTAATGGTTGCGGTGATATTATGACCCCAACACAGGAACATGGAAAGGTACATGCTAGGCAAAGTGACATGTTCAAATAATACGGACCGTGAATTTTGGATAGTTCTAGGAAAGTGCACCATGACGATAATTAAAGATATGACTAGCTTTTAGGAATGTTTATTGAGGAATGAGAAAGTAGCAGTAGTAGTACAATTTACCTTTATTTGCTGGTTTTTTAAGTTTCAACATTTGGCTTAACATTTCAATTGGTTAGCCTTTGGCTCTTCATCTTTGTTCTAGTTAATTGGTTATTCTATTGTGATGATTGCTTTTAGTGCTAATTTACAGGATACCCTTCTATGGGATTGTTTTCGCTTGAATTTAAAAATTTGATATCCTACCTGCTTGAGCACAGGAACCTACCTAACTACTCAAACTAGATTGCCAAATCACGAATGATCAGGTGGTTTGATAGCAGACAGGCGACTCTGAACCTTTCCAGCGTGAAAGCCTTTCGCTCCTCGAGTGTTTGAAGACCGGCCAGGTGGTGAATCTCAGAATGGCGAGTTCGCGGTGGACTGTTAATGTTAAGGATCATTCTGAGGATCTTGTTTTGGATCCTCTCAAGCTTTAGGTGGTGGCACTTAGCACAGCTCTCCCAGATTGGCATACCATAGTCAATAGCCGGCAGAATGATCTGCTTGTGGATAGCAAGCTTGTTTTTAAGGGACAGGGTGGACTTCCTGTTTATCAGAGGGTAGAGCGACCTGATAAACATGTTACACTTTGTGGATGTCTTGTCCACATGGGATCGGAATTACAATTTGGTATCGAGGGTGAGACCAAGGCAGACTACTTCACTAGATCATTCACTGGGAGTGCTATCAAGATGGACCTTGACGCTAGCAGGCGGAACAAGCCAAGCTGAATTCGAGTGTGGAAACAGAATGATTTGTGTTTTAGCTGCAGTGATTCAAAACTTCCAGCTCTTGAAATAGTCGGACAGAACATCCAGGCCTGATTGTAGTTTACTCGGCAGAGCACGGATCACTCGACCCTTATAGATGATGGCAGTGTCATCTACGAACATTGACAGGATACCACCACCCGGCAGGGGAGGAACGTCTGACGTGGAAATGTTGAATAGGATAGGCCCAAGCAGGCTACCCTGAGGGAGCCCTGCATCAACGTTGAACGTATCAGAGGGGACATTTTTCAAATAGACCTGGAATGATCTGCCCGACAAGTAGTTTTTGATGATCTTCACGAGGTAGATCAGAAAGTTGTATCGATGCAGCTTGTACACTAGACCATCATGCCAGACATTGTCGAACGCCTTCTCGACGTCCAACAATGCCATTGCAGATGCATGGAAACGGACTTATACCGCTTGGTAGAGTGGCCTTTCCTAAACCCGAATTACTGTTTGAGAACGATGTTATTATCATTTGAAAACACCAGCAGACGGCTGAGTATCAACTTTTCGAATAGTTTCGAGATGGAGGAAAAGAGGCTGATGGAGCGATAGCTTTCGGCACAGTTAGCATCTTTGCCCGGCTTGTGTATTGGAATCACTTTGGCTAACTTCCAGCATGCAGGGAAGTAGCCAAGCTCCAAACATTTGTTTAACGGTAAGATGGTTGAATAAGTCAATACTCAAGTTTTTCAACTCTATGTTGACTACACCATCCATACCCGCAGCCTTCATGTTTTTAGTGCTTCTAATAGCTGCTATCACCTCATCAACCAATATTCTACTATCATCATGCACTACTACTGGGGTGTCAACTCTAGACATTGCCTCCAGTACAGCAGGCTCATGGCTCATGAGAAATCACAAAATGTTGGCCAAGAGCATTGGCCTTTTCAACTGGGGTTATGAGTAGGGATGGGTCCAAGTTCTGGTCAACAGAGGAAAGCGGAGGGATCGGTCTCGACTTATTTTTCAAAATTTTGGTCATCTTCCAAAATGGTTTTGCACAATCTGGGCGGGAGCGAATCTTGTTGGCAAAATCGTTATTTCTGAGTTCCATCATCCTGGCCTGGATAATGTTGGTTAGCCTATTGACATTGGTCTTCAAGTGAGGCAGCCCAGAACGCTGGAAATGCCTACGAATGGTGTTACGGAGCCTGATAAGATCTTTGGTTGGACTGCCAAAGTTCAGAGTATGACTCACCTGTCTGGATACTGGTACGTGTTGCTCCCTGGCACGCCCAGGTAACAATTTGAAGCTTAACAAGTGTTGATTAATCGATTTCAATTCAGCCTTAGATTGAATAATTGCTGTACATAGGCCACGTTAACCTTTGTCCAGCTTTTAAACATCTAAATCTGGTGATTTTAATCAGCCAAAAGCTTAACAGTAATTTACATTATAAGCTTTTAAAGGCATTAAATAACAGTATTTTCCAACCCTTGTTCAGCCTTCTAGTTTTATTTAAAAAATAATAATGGAAGACCGCTTCATATCTTATGCATTTAAAGCAGTTCCATGCTTTAACTTGTTGCTGACTAATTGGATTAACATATTTTTATTGTTAATATAAGCCTAAAAATTACCTATGCATTTCGGGATTTGAACCGGCAGTCGCTGATTCATAGGCGTCAACCATACCTACTGGACCATTTAGGCATATGTGTGGTAAAAGGTATGATCATTAACTTGAAGCAGCTCAAATTTAAGTTGAATAACAGCAACCGGAAGAGTATTATACAGCAATGCAGAATTGTAAACAACAATTGTTAAGCCTAAAATTGCTACCTGTGTGGTGACAGTTAAACATTCCTCTCATTTTCAAGTGCACTTAGCACAATGTGGACACAAGCACGCAATTTATTTTGATGGTCATTTGGATGCTACTTTAGTGCCATAATTGAGTAATATTTTTGGAATGCGGTCTGAAAATTCAGTGCAATATAAAGTGGTGAACAGTCAAAACACAGAAGTACCTGGAACTATTCCTAAAAATCTCCTTATCCTTGTCTCTACTGCTGCCACACCTTGTGATTAGAAAGGTAGGCAGTGAATTTAGTAGAACTAAAATGCCGGACATGCAACGAGTGACACAGACACTGACGACATTTAATAAATTAAGCTATCAAAATAAATGTAACGCATTGCTGATTTGTGGAGTTGTGTTAAGCTTAAATAAGGCTTGTTCAATCTTTGGATCAGCTAACCTATTGAGGTTGGATTATGGGGATACAATTCGTTTCATGCACTACTAATCAACTATATATTCAGCCTGATGTTAATCAGCTTTGTACACCTTAAATCAACCAATAATCAGCTTCTGTTCTTAATGTTCAGCTTGAATTGTTACTTGGGCGGGATATCGCTTCTTCGATGGTTTGCAGACACCGATCGACTTCTTCGAACGACTCCGGTAGGACGTCGTAGTCGATTGCTGTGTCCACACAGCGCTGGTCCTGCTGCCCTGCCAGTTGACGCGATGGTAAGTTCA